GGAATTGCACAGTTAAAATGCTCGTTAGTAAGATTTACCCTCTAAAATGTGAGCATCTGACCCCAAAAGAGAGGTTTTAGGAAGCTGGTGTTTCTCATGGCAGAAAATGTGTTGAGAGCCAGAATTAGGGTATCTGGAGAGTCCCACGGGTGCCCCAGAGCAGGTCCCCTTGGGAAACACCTCGTAGCAGGCTTAGTTATTTATTTGTCACCAGTGGGCACAGACCAGGCTTTTGGAAGTTGTGGGGAAGTTTTTTTGGAACCCTTGATAATTTTTTATGCCTAGGAAATTCAGCAGCTCTGAGCGCCGCGGTGTGAGGAAAACTGTTGAGAAAAGCCCTTTGTCTGATTTGCTCTTTATTGCATTGTGGCTGTCATCTGCTGTTCACAGCTGTGACAAACAGCCTGTCCCTCCTTCCTGCATGCCACTTAGGAGGGGGCTGTGGCTGGATCCAGCAGCCACTAGATGCCAGTGCCGTCTTACACAAGAACAAGCTCACCACTGAGCAGAGCCAAAGCCTAGAAAAAAAAATTTCAGGAATTTGGGCAACTCGCCAGTTGTTAAATTTAGCATTACTCATCACCGTTGCTTTTCCCTCTCTGGGGCTGCTTTTCTTCAATGTATAGCCATTTGTGCCTTGCGTACGTGCTCGGGAGGTGAGCAAAAGCTCCACCTATTTTTTTTTTTTTTATCATGGGACATGAACTAGTACAAACTTTAGAAAGTTGTCTGGGAGGTGCACATGTTCGCAGGCCGAGCTCCTTGACCATGCTGTGATATTCCTCCTGCACATCTTATCCCTCCCAAATTACCAACAGTATTTGGAGCTGCAGACAAGATGCTAAATTAGGATCTGATCCAATGCACTGTGGGGAAAGGGGACAATCTCTCTGCTGTCTCTGTCATCTTCAAAACTTGGGCTGAATACGCATGAGATGGGTCTGGAGACCAAGGACTGTCACTCTTCCAGTGTTTTTCTATTAACCAGCCCTGAATCTGGATGTGCACAACTCCTGCAGGTAGCTGGAGCCAGGTCAGAGCAAAGCTTCTTCCAAAAGGAAACCCAGCACTTAACAATGAGCAGCTGAGAACAGGCAAGTCCAAGGTTTTTTTGGGGGGGAACACAGTGATTTCCAGTCCTTGAAAGAAAAGAGCATCCTCGGAAGTACCTCTGTGTTGCACTGTGAGCAGCACCAGGGCCAGGCTGAGCCCCGAGTAATAGTGAACAGCAGAGATTTGTGGTCCTTGACTGCAATGCTGTCCTTCAGAGCTGTTTGGGTTGGTTTTTTTTCCACCTGGAAGGGAAATTCAGGTAGGGATGAGATGAGATGGTCTATGGGAGATTTAGCTGGGCTAGGGGGAAAAGGGAGCCACGCAAGCTCAAAGATAAAGCAACTCACCTTGAACATCACTGGAGACCCTAACCCATAGGCTTCTAGAGGGGAGGTCAGTGGGACATGGGAGGAAGTTTACAGGTGGGATGATTGAGGGTCTATCCAGCTCCAAAGGCGGAGAAGTTGTGTGGTCCTCAGATATGTTTTATTCTCACTTTGTTCCTCAAATGTGAGGCCCTGTGCTGTAGTGATCTCCAGGAAAGGGCTGGCTGGAAGAAGGGAGAAGGAAAATGCAGTTTTTGCACTGTGAGTAGCTAAATGTGTGGCTATCTGCTGTTTTGTTTTTTTTTTTTTTTTTTTTTTTTTTCTGGGACATTAATCTTCTCATCACTTAGGGCTCAAACATGTCTTAGATTTGTTTGTAGAGGATGGATATGGTTTTTGGCTTTGTCTTGCTCTCCTCTAGGAACCCATGTCTTTACAAATGGGAATAATTTTTTTTTTTTTTTAAAGTTGGGTTGTGGGTTTGAGTTTTCTTGGAAAATTGTTCTTGCTCTCCAAAAATTGATCAGCCAGCTGCAAAGAGGGCATCTCAGTTCTCCAAGAGGGGAAATGTTCTAGCACAAAAGCGAGTTCTACCATTTCCCTGATTTTGAAGAAGATGAAAGCAGGACATCAGGAAAAGCTAATAAGGTAAAATAATAGAGCTGGCAGAGCTGCTGTTCTTGTTAAAGCCTAGGATACAGCCGACCTCTTTGTAAGTCTGTAAGAACAATGTCAGGCTATTTTGGCAAAATCTCTTTTGGCTTGGTAGGGAGTCCTCTGGTTGAGTGCTGGCTGTTATCAGGAGCAAGGTACCAAATCTCTCCCCATTTCATGGGGACAGGACCTCTCTGGAAAGGTGCAAAACCAGAATGAAGGTTTAATACCCCTTGTACTGGGTGTGGAAGCAGGAATTGCTATGGCTCACTCATTTGGCTGTGGTGGTCTTCCAAGTAGCAGGTCCTCATCTTCTTCAGACTACCAGGGCTGTGGCTGATTCACCCATTGGTGACCTGGCGACAGGCTCTTCCCATGGTGGGACTGATCCCTTGCTGCCCTAAATCATGCGCTGCTCCATCCACCCCCTGGTTTTTGCAAATGTCTGTCTCACTATTTGTATCACCCCCAAGACACCTCCACTGGGATCAGATGAGAACAAAGGTATTACCACTGTAACAAACTCATAGTAAAAATGATTCCTGAGATGTTAACAGGTAAATAAATATTGGCCAAAGAGGTGGTTGGAAAAAAATCCTAAACCCTTTATTTTTCACTTAAAAAAGAAGCATAATGCTGATGATTTACTGCTGCATGTGCAGGCCAAGTGTCACCAAAATGCATGTTGAAAACACTCTGGCATTGCTGAGCAGCTTGTGCCCTTGCCTGTCTGACCTCAAATCAATCCCTACAGAGCAAAGTCTGCTCTTATTTACCATGCACAGCATGACCCTTGAAGACAAAACTTTGGGTATAAAAAGACTGAGGCACGTATGTTGGTTTAAAAAGTTTTAATGAGATTTCAAAGTCTGGTTAATGTCCTTGGATTATTCTAGAATTACAGATTTGCTTCACAGAATTTAATCCCAGCTCTAATTTCCATGTAATGGATGATTGAGATGCCATTTTTCACTTCATTCTGTTTAAACATAGACAATTGTCCTCCAGTAAATGGATGGTGTGATTTTTTTGCTACACTTCATAGTGTTAAAACTCTATACAAATATTGTACTCTGTGTACAAAAATAAGTGCTTCATGCACACACTTTTTTTTTAATACTGCTTCTTGCCCTTTTCCTTGACATCTTTCTGAATTTACATAAATAGCTGAAAAAGCAGACTAAAGTTACTGAACATGGAAATTGAGAAAGGCTTTCTGCCAATGGTAGTCTTCTAGAGAGAGATACATAGATATGTTACACGTTGGCAGTCAAACATGACTTAAAAGGCATAGACAGAAGAGAAAATAAAGCCATGATACTCATAACACTCTCGGTTATTTCACCCTCCGCAAACAGGTTTTTCTGCGAAGCCAAGTGTGCTGAGCAGCAACCGCAGAGGAATTGTAATACCTTTTGGATCACCCTGATGAGCTATGTTATAAATAGGAAGGGTCTAAGAGTACCGCAGACTGTACAACTGATGTGGTTTTGTTCTGTTCCTGGCAAAATCGGGTCAGCTGAAGCATGAGAACAGGAAACACCTAGCTCCTGGTAGTCAACACCTTGTCACAGCCCATTGTGCTTTGTACAGCTTTGGAGATGCCGGGGAAAAGCTCTGCTTGAAATGGCTTGTACAGTGCCTTCTTACATCATCTAGACAGGATGAAAAATTGGGGGCCAGATCTGTTGGAATCAATGGGCATCATCAGCCCGGTTGTAAATGCTCCCCCCAAAATGGTTTTTTTTTTGGTCCTAGACTGAGCAGATTCAAGTTTTCTTAGTGTGCTTTACTGTATAGGATGTATTATATAGGAGTAACGTGTCTGCTGTGGTTATCTAACAGTGGATTTCTCCTATATCTCTAGAGCATCATTACTCCTGCCTCAATCTGATGGCAAAAATAAATGGATAATTTATTATAATAGATAATTATAAATGGTTGTTTATAATAATAACCAGAGGATGCTCTCGGCATCCCCAAAGTATTCAAACACAACACCAACACTGGTGCTCTCCAAAGCAAGAGGTGCCTTTACTGCTGGCGTCAACCCTTTTCCACTAAAGTTATGTTTTGCTAGAATCACACCAGCCAGCAGCCTTGTTTTAATGGGTAAAGCAGCGCTAACAGCCAGGTAGGGCTCTTCCCATCCTGTCGAAAAGGTTCCTTGTATATAATTTTATTTCTGTAGCTGTGACTGTTGTTACTGGGCCAGGGCTCTGAGCTCTTGTGCTCAAATTAATTAGGGAATTGGCCCTAATGAATAGCACTTTGCTAGTCCACAACCTTAATAGTACTGAAAGTTTTCCAGTCTTTCGCTGGATGTGCCGTTGGATGGGAGGTGGAGAAAAATTCATCGTTATTTGCTGGTTTGTGACTTGTAGGTACAGCTGGGAAGTAGCAAAGTCAGAGGGAAAACTCTGCCTCCTGCTTTAAAAATCACATTAATGCTCAAGAGCATGCAAACCAGCCTGTTAGGCTGGGCAGACACGTTGATGATAAATATCTTTTTTCCTTGGCTGTGCCAGCATAAATTTAAAAGATGCTTGAGATGCCTGACCACATCCCCACGGTGCCTGTGGCACAGGGTGCTCAGAGGTGGTCCGAGGCAAACCGGAGCCCTCCGTGCAGCTGACAGGCAGCCTTTCTTTTCACCCACTGCTTTGCCTGGCTTGAGAAATTCTAGGGGGAGCAGGGGAGAACTGATAAAGAGAGGGGCTTGTTGGAGACACCCCATCCTTCCCCAGTCCTGTGTCACCATGTCCACAGGACCAACTGGTTTTGGCACAGGTTGTTGCTTGTAAACGCACACAAAATGGTGTGTATGTGTATATATATGTATGTATATTACACACACTGATAACTACTAATTTTCTGGGCTGAGATTTTGCTTTCTAGTGTGAAAATCTGATTTTGAGCCTTTTTTTCCCCTTAATTTCTCCTTTTCCCCCTGACATCCTGTTCTGAAACTAAAGAACTAAATGAAAGAAACTCCAACTAAAATCTAACTTTAGGCGACAGATTACTTTAAAATCATGAGGGTGTAAGAATTACCAGACTGAGTTTTGTTTTGTTTTTTCCTGCCTATGCTCAGTTTAAGGGAACTCTATTAAAGACAGGATTAAAACGCTCCATAGCCATCGCTGCGTGCAGCGACTGCAAAAGCGGGGTAGGCTTCATACGCCGCGTATGTCGCTAAATCTTGTCCCATAGTGACTGCTTGTTTGAGCTGAGTCGCTGTGACGGTCGCTGCTGCGTTAGCAATGGTGTATCCTGCATGAGAACGGAGAGAAAAAATGCAGATTAATGAAAAGACTTCCAAAAACCACCATTGACAGATGGTTTTTGTTGGGAAGACTTTGCTTTCGATGGGAATGACATAGGGAGCAATGAGTTTGTTAATGAGAATAATCTAATTAAATTAAATAGGTCATTTCTGGCATGTTCTTTCTTTATGTTGAAGCTGGAAAATTAATGCATTTTCTCACTTATTATTTGCTAAACACACTGCTTGAAAAATGCCCCTTTCTGTTGAATATTTTTTTCATTATACTTCGATTACCTCTGAGCTAAGAGGGGGTTAATGGTGCTCTGTACACTACCTCCCATGCATGACATGAAGATGGCAAGAAAATAGAGTAATATAGGGGAAATCTGGGCAGGTTTCATAGAGAAAATACGACTCTGATACTCTTCACAGTCAAAATACATGCAATTCAGGACAGCCACATTAGAGAGGAGGGAAACTTCCTCTATGCAATATGAGGGAGAAAGTATTTAGTAAACGGGATTTTTTTTTTTTCCCATCCATCTCTAATGGAAAATGTGGTTTCAACACTTCAAAATTTTCCATGGGAAAATGTTAGCTTTGCTGATTTAAAATGGATTACTGGGAAAACAAACATCATTTGGGGCTGCTTCGTCTGCAAGCAGGGTATAGCAGCTTGTCAACCAGACTGCAAGATTTTGCTGAGAAAGAATTGAGAATGAAGACGAAGCCCCAAGGCTGGGAAGAGTAGCTGGGGTACCCATCGGCTCTGCTGGACCAAACTACATCTCCCAGGATCCAAAATCTCCGACAGACCAGCTGGGCAATGGGGTTGACTCAAGGTCAGTCAGATTCAAGGTCATCCCAGTTAGGGAATGGAGATATTGGGCAACACCAAGAGAGTGTGGCCTTGTTGAAGGTGTTACCTTAGGGGAAAAAGCTGTCACCTGGGCGTTGTGGCCACACGAAGTCTCATCTTAGGCATCAGCAGAGTGAGGTGCAACATTTTGACTAGCAATTGAGAAATCTGTCAATTAAAGCGTATCTGCCACCATCATAAGAGAAAGTTGCTGCTGCCTGGGCACGACCTGAGCTGAGTTGGGCATTAGCAAGCCCTGACCAAGTACTGGGGTGTGCTGTGAGCAGGAAACTTTAAGGTATGTCAATTTGTTGAGTTTCCAAGGCAAATAAATAAGGGCGGATGAAAGAAAAAGGAGAGATTGTAATTAAGCAGTAAGTGGGGACTGGATTCAATAAAGAGCCCATTTGGTTTCCATGCTGCGGAAGCCTGCGCAAACCCCAGACAAATTGATTTTTCTGTGGCTTTTGTGGGCTCCTGTGGCAGGAAGCTGGATAAATTTTTTATTTTTTTATTTTTTACATCCATCCTTGAGACACTGAAAGCAATGCAGTAGTACTGACTAATGCATTCCTCATGTGCAGTTTGGCATGCCGTGTTCCCACTACATCAGAATAACCGTCATGCTGGCAAGCACGCTCAGTGTAATGCCTGCGAGCTGGATTCCAGCCAGCCTGTTTTCCATGGCTTCCCAAGCTGTTTTGGGCAGTTGCAAGAGCTGTTGAGTATGAATTCACAAATTGGAAAAAAAATCTCTCCCAGTGGGGATGTGAGAGCTGGGATCAGATCCTGAATTTCACGGTTGCATCATTTCTTTGGCAGATGAAATCAAGTGTTGGTTCAAGGAGGTGCTGGGGAAGGCAGATAGATTGTGAATCAATCAGCTACACTTGTTTGCAGTGAGAAACATCTGTTTCATCCTGGGTGGCACTGGCCAGCCAGCAGGTCCAGGAGAGTGGACTTATCCAAGATGTAACACTAGGGATGCCACTTCGGGATCCTGCATCCCATCTGGGGCTCCCAGTTGAAGGGAGGCATCCACAAACTAGAAGGAGTGGAGGAGAGGTGTGTACCTGGGATGGGGCTCTGAGTGATGGGGGATCCCCATCCTTGGAGACCACCCCAACTTGCCTGGACACAGCCCCAAGCAACCTACTGTAGCACCAGCATTGACCCTACTGGGAGCAGGGTTGGACCAGAGATACCCCCAACCCAGTGCCTCCAGCCTGAGTTGCTCTATGGTATGCATACTGTAATTTGGATAGTCCTGATATCGAGACAAATTACTATATAGGCAATAAAGATGTCTTAGACACAAGTATGAGCCAAGGTAGAGATATGTAGGGGATTGAAGCCAGGTCTGTTCTTGTTGGCCAAAACTGGGTTCATTCTTGACCTCCACAAGGAGGCATGCAGGAAAAATAATGTTCCAGGAGACCTTGGCTGGACAGACCTTCCCATACCTGGAAAAGCTGGTGCTGCAGGAGGCACCTCTGCTCCCTCTGTGGGAATCCCCAGTGTCTGAAGGGTGTATTCTGCTGCGTAGGTTTTGGCTTCATCGATATAGGCGCTGAGCTTGGGTGGTGTGAAGGGATGGCTGCGAATACAGCAAAATGTTAGCTTGTTTTCGGGTTGTTGGTTTTTTTTTTTTCCTCTAGGACTGTCCTGCAAGATGTTTTGATCTACTCATAGATGGTATCATCCCACTTATCAAATGGAAACATTACTTTACTGTGCTGATGCATTAACAAAAGTACTTTCCTCGTAGTCTGGGTTTTTTGCTGAGTTTATCGGCCCTGGGTCTCATTTTGGACACAACATCCTTTCAGAGCATGTTGTCCACTTTCAGGCCAAAAGAAAGTCTGCTGCCGTCTGGGCTTTTCTTTAAAATACAACAATTTTTTAGGTCAGAAATGTTTAGGATCATATTAGGAGCTGAATGATCAGCATGTTCCTTCAAGCTGCTTTCTTTTTCCCACAAGAGCTATCGCATGTCTTATCTTTGTACTGAAAAGAACCCTTTTGCCTGATTATTTCTGGCTTTCTGTAATTTTTGCGCCACCAGAGAGAAAGCACGAAGCATGGCAGGCATTGCTATCGGTCTGTTTTAGTCTATGGATGTTTTTCTCCCTAATATATATATTTAAAAAAGGAAATAGAGACCTGTGTGATTGTAGATTCTAGAGATGTATTGATTGTAGATTTCTAGAGATTGTAAGTTTATTTAGAGATTCTAGATAAAATGCCATTTAAAAAAAAAAAAATAATCCTAAACCCCAAGCAAACTTCAAATGGTTACGTACATGGTAGGGTTCTGGCTGGCGAGGGCCGGGATGGTGATTTTGTATAGGAAGAGCTGTCTTTGGTCTTGGCCAACTGCAGAGTGGAGCTGGTAAACAGGCTGGCCCCAGTTGTTTTTCTGGCAGATTTCTTCTAAGATCTAGAAAGGCAAAAAGAGATTTTTTTTTTTTTCCCTTGGGTTAATTGCCTTCTTGCTCAGCCCTGATGAGCTTGCTTCCCTTTAAAGTATTTCAGGGGTATTATGGCAGGGTTCCCTACGCTTAGGGGGGAAAAAAAAAAAAAAAAAAAAAAAAAAAAAAGAAGAAATGTCAGGGTAGCACACTTCACCTTGAAGTGCAAGATTCATCTAAATGTTTTATACTTTAAAAAGCCATTTAATTCCTGAAGTTAGTTTTTACCCCATTAAATAGGACATATTTGTCCTTTTGCTGTTTTATTCGGTTATTAGTGTGGGTTTCTTTGAATTTGTCCCAGAAATTCTATCTGTGCACTTCTTTTTAGCAGTGCTAAATCACTAGGGTTACATTCATCTTCACTGCTCCCCTGCCTCCCCGGCTTAGTCGATTACAGTGCATGAAAAGTCTAAACTATCGGGTTTTTTAACAAAAAAAGAAAAAGAAAAAGAAAAAAGGCTGTGTTTCCATCCAATTAATTATACAGGCTTCAATGGGCTATTTCTGTTTCTCATTTGAAAGAGAAACGCTGAACCACATTGGCCCCAGCCTTAGCTTATTCCATGGTAATTGGGAAGTGCTATCCAGAAATGCTACTGCTTTGGAGTTGTACTTTTTTTTTTTTTTTTTAAACCGACTGGGTACTTCAATGGGCTATTTCTGTTTCTCATTTGAAAGAGAAACACTGAACCACATTGGCCCCAGCCTTAGCACAGCTTATTCCATGGTAATTGGGAAGTGCTATCCAGAAATGCTACTGCTTTGGAGTTGTACTTTTTTTTTTTTTTTTAAACCGACTGGGTATGTGCTGTCCCAAATGGGTTTGAACACAGCGTGGTGTTCCCCTGCCTCCCTGTGAGCAACGCTCGGACCAGTTTTGTTTTGTTTTTCCAAGTAGCTCCATCAAACCTGACACTCAGCTGAGAAGATGTTGGGTCTTGGGGTCTTTGTGATGTTGGCCATGCTGCTAGCTGGGTTGGACTGGAGACCCCCCCGATGTTTCAAACCTGTGTCTTTCTGTGCTCTACCTTATTTAAAATTTACGCTTCATTTTCTTTAAAATTCAAAAGTAAAGTTTAAATAGCAGTGCTGCTTTTAATTTTGTAACTGTAGCTCCAACTGAAGTTTTAGCACTTTGTAGTGTCAATAAACTAGTTTGTTACACTTCTTGACAATGGCAACATTTGTTCCCTGCTGTCCCAAAGCCTTTACACGGATGTTGGTTTTATAATATTACATCAAAATTTAAATCCTCAATAAGGTTGCTTTTTAACGCTGAGCATCCTGGCTGGGCAGCGGGAATGAAATCCATCATTCAAAGATGCTGTTGAAACAGTCTCAGCGCAGCAGATGGGAGAGGCTGACCAAGCTGATGGGTATTAATGAGGCTGTCCTATTAGTGAGGCTGCCGTGAAGCAAGCTGTAGATGTTTAAGACCAGCTGTTGTGAAATAGTAGCAGTGGGGGGATTAGGGAGCTCAGCTGCTGTGAAAATGTGCCCAAAAAATAAGTGTTGCAAGTGCCTGGCACCATTAGTGTGCTATTTGAAATATGTGCAGTGAGGGTTTGGTGTTGATGGGAATAAGAAAAAATGAATGTCACCTGCCCTAAGGCAGTGCAACACCAGTCAAACTATTTCACCCCTCTTCTATGCTGATAAAATAGAGTATGGGGACTGTGAAATTTGGCATGTGGGAAAACCCCCCAATTTCCAGTTTTCTGGGAGAGAAGAGGATGTTTTTGTAGACTTTGGCAAACAGGATGGTGTGGCAATTGAAGTGTTAAAAGGCAGAGATATGCTTCAAAACTCAGGGTGAAGTTAGTTTCCCGTGTTGCTTTGGAGGATGTAAGGGGAAGGGCATCGCTGTAAGAGCCGGACCCTCAGAAACTTGGGGAATTTGTTCTGGGTTTTTTCTCCTCAGCCCTCACCCATCCAGCTGGATCCCAGTCCCGCACACATGATGGCACCCAAAGCCTCGTTGAGCAACTGGAGTTTCTGCACTGGCCTGGGTTGTGTGGACAGTCGACACCGCTTTCCCCACGAGTGATTTTAAGACGTACATTATTTTTCTATATGTGTGCATTCGTTCCTTGGTGAAGCTCCAAGCATCCTGTTTATCAAACCCATTTTGGGAGAGAATTTCTTTACCCTCAGTGCTTTTATAGAGCAACAGCCATAGCTGGAGTTCACTTTCCACCCATAGTTGCTTATGAAGAATCTCCCCCAAGGAAGAGCATCTCTGTTCTCCAGCGAGGCGGATGGGTATTGCAAGATGCAACTAGTGATTTTCTGGGTTTTTTTAATGTCTTTTGAGATGCAAGAGTGGATTTAGTTTTTCCCATTTTGGGTGAAGACAACCTGTGGTCGGGATATTGACTCTTTTTCGCGCACATACCTGGGGAGCAAGTTTGATCCCTTGGGGCTTTAGCGTGACATGGTTCATCGGCGTGAGCTCCATTCCTGGCAACAGGTCGTAGAGTTTATCCTCTCCCCTCTTTTCTCCTTTGAGCTGGTATCCACGCCCCAGGCCCGTGTACGCCAGGTAGCCACGACCTCCCAGTCCTCTAACTCCCGCAGCCCCTACAGGTACATTCATGTAAATTTCTAGGAATGTAAGAAGGCATTAAACTGAATCAAATCACCGGAAAAAATGACCCTGATTCTTGCTGAAATGGAAAAGTTAGCCCCACTCACCAGGTTTGGGAAGAACATGGGCAGGAGCCCCCCATAGCCTGTTGCCGGGATAACTCGGGCTCGGCATTGACACCCTTTATTTTTGGGCTCGTGTGTTTGGATGGGTGAGGATTTTTCAGGGAAAGCCCTGCTTCCTTCTGACCCACTTTCCATCTTCTTTGGACAGGTTTGATTTCCTGACACCTTTCCAACTGGATTTGTAATTGAAAGGCAGAGAGGGGACAGCTGATATCGCTTGCTGTCACCTTCTTGAGGAATTCAGCTTATACAATCCCTTGCTTGTATGAACTACATTTTTTTTTCCCCTCTACATTTCTATTTTTGTTTGGGGAGCCCTACTTGGGAGCCTGGGGAGACTTCAGGGCAAGAGAGGGCTGGTGGGTTATCACATCTGCACCATTCCTTCATGGTAGCTGGTCTCACCTGTGCGGGCAAAAACAGGGCAGGCACCAAGGAAAATTCCTGCTCCCCTCTTTAATTCTTTGGGAAGGAGGAACAATTGGCCAGCATGGTCTTGGAAACCCTAACGGGGTGCCCAGTGGGGTCCCAGTTTGCCATGGGACCTGGGAGGACCTGGGGCTGGGGACACAAGCTGACAGCTTTGGAATGATGAATTTGGAATTTTTGACGGCTTTTGGTCATCTTTGGAAGGAAGATCAAGTGGACAGATTTTTTTTTTTTTTTTTTTTTTTTTTTGCTAGCCCCTAAGCTCACTTGTGCACTTAGCAAATTATGGCTGTGAAGACATATAATTTTGGGGTTACCTGAGTGTGGCAATTTGATTTAGTCCTAGGTGCAGTCACCCAGGATCAAAGGCACCTCAGCACCTTTCAGAAATACTCTCTGTTTTCACAGTCTGTGTATTATTAGGTTAATGATTCCCCCCCAAAACAGTCCATCTTCCAGAGCACACAATTAATGGCTTTCTTGATTTCAATGCTGGTTCCCCACCCCGCCTCAGGGCATTGTGACCTCGCTGGGAAACGCCGTGGCTTTGGGTCAGAAAACACAAGAACTGGTAAAACTTTCCCTGTGACCTTCAAAGCAAAGAGGCAACACAGCGGAGAGCCATGCTGGTGGCTGGTGGAAGGAATTGACTCTGAAGAAGGGAAAGGAAATTTGCTTTCTTTGGTCTTCCCTGCTGGGGCAAAACCAGGAGGATTCGCAGTTTGTTTACACTGGATGGAGAGCAATCTGGAAGCTGATTCAAGCTTGGTCTGGAAAGCTCACTTTCTTTTCATCCCCTGCTTAGTCTGCTGGAAGATCACTGCACCTTTGAGAAGGACAGAGCCTAAAAATTGTGTTTCCCATCCCTCTCTGAAAGGGGTGCAGCATCCAGGGCAAAGACAAATGCCCTCAACATGAGTCTAGGGAGCAGCCACCCGAGCCCCAGAGGAAATATTTTGCTAGAGCTATTGGCGTGATGGGAGTTACCTCGGATGGATGGGGTCCGGATGATGCTCCTGTTGCTGAGCCCCTTGGCGGCAGGGAAGTGTAGGCTGGGGATAGCTGCGTAGGCTTGGGGTGCGTAGAAAACTGGAGCACCCAGGTAGGCAGCAGCAGGGTCATAGACATGTCCAAAGGTGTAGGTGTATTCTCCTTGCAGCATAGTACCTCTGCCACCTGTGCCCCGGGTGTATCTGACGTAGCTGTCTTTGTCAACGGGCTTGGCTAAGGTCACCTCGATGGGGGACCCATCCAGCACCTTCACATTGGGGTGGTGGGGAGAATGGAAGAAGCGTAAGTGTCCAAAAAGCATAGGGATTTTCCTGCCTAGAGAGGTAGCCTCCCCACCTGGTTTGCTAAGGGGATAGGAAGATGGCTAAAACCACCCAAAAAAAGCCAAAATCTCCCTCCCACAGGTGGAAGAAGGCGCCAGCTGGGTGAAGGCTTAATGTGTTGAGAGCACCCAGCCCCGACCTTAACTGAATTAACACATTTATGAAGCCTTTGAAAGGCTTCGCTTCCGTGCAAAGTAGGGTGTAAGTCAGGGAGATTATACATGTTCCTATGGAGAGTAGCAGTAGCACTAAAAATAGGAGCGGGGTTAACACGTCTTTGGGAACAGCTCTTGCACAACAGTGCCGTGAATTACATGTGGCACAAGAAGTACTAAATACAACAACCCCTTGCAAATCCATATCTGAAGTTGGAGCAGATGTTTCAAGTTGACCTTGTTTGTCCCAGTTCGCCATTCACACGCTGCCCTGCAAGAGTTTTTTGTTGGAAGACGTGGAACAAGGATGTGAGCATGAGCTAAGGGAACCCGTAACCCCTTCTTTGCTGACCCCTTCTTTGCTGATCCTTGTTTGGGCTTTGCTCTGCTGCTTTTTTTCTAAGCAGCAAACTACAGTCTGAGCTGGGCAAATGTTTAGCACAAATGCAAAGAGCAAGAAGCCAAAATGAACAGTTTGTGTACATCAGGGTTGCCGAAAAATTAATTCAGGAGTGTAAAAGCAGCCTGCAAAGAGAAAATGTGGCTAACACCTTCAGGATGTTTTTGTAGCTAATAAACCAGGCAGCTTTGTTTCAGCTGTGTACAATACACTGCACGTATTAGCATTGGCAGCTTTACCTTCCCATTAAAGGCTTTCATAGCTTCCACCGCGTCTTCTCTTTTATTAAAGTGCACAAAGGCGTAGTCTCTAATTTTCTTTACTCTCTCTACGGCGCCTGCAGAAAACATTGGAATATTAGTTGGAAATGGGTATTAGTTGGAAAATACAGACCTGAAAGAGCAACTGTGAGCCTTTGGAGACCAAAGGCTGATCAATGGTAAGAGAGCACGACAGTGTCTTCTTACCTCTTAGGATGTATATACCATGGGAAAATAAATAAGGGGCTGTAGTGTTTCAAGGAAAACCGGAAATGCTTGGGGTCAGACACCGGTAAGCTTCACATTTCACTGGAGTGGTTTTCTCATGTCCAAAATGCTCTGTTCGATGCTGCCTTTGGTCTTGTGTCTCCCTTCTCCAACAGATCACCAAGACCCGGATGGCTGAGCAGGACATGCACCGGATGAGGATTTTGTGAGCTACAGGTAACATCACTGTGTGGTCACCATCTCCACATGGTTTTGTAGGCACACGGTGCAAGAAGCGTGGACACGGCCCCCAGTGACCTGCTGCAGCTGCAAAGTTGGCCCTGCTGGGAGTGGGGTTGGGTTGAAGACCCTCATCCTGAATCTTACTACACCTCTGTGATTACCCAAAGTAATTTCAATCTAAATGGCTTCTTGTTCTTCTCCTCTATGTCCATCCTCTACAGCTTTCCCTTGTTATCTGCTTCGCTGCTGGGAACTTTTTGGCATTGAGATACTCAGCACTAAGGAATTTGTCTCCAAAATAACCACATCGGTCCTATTCCCCCTGGTCACGAGCTCTAGATACCTACCTTTTCTTCTCTAATTGTTTATCTTCCCCACTGCTGTGGGCTGGGAAGCACATCATCAACCAACGCAGTCCCAGGGACTCTAACACCCCCAAACACATCTTTTGGAAATCTGTCTAGGGAATGCTGAATGGCTCTTCTGTTGGCTTCTTACCCTTTGAAGCTGAACAGGCACGCAGGGAAATGTCATATTGCCGCAAAAAGCACTTAACTTAAATAACTGCAGGAGAAAAGATATTCCTTTGGAGTTCAGGGAGAGTCATTGGGAGCTCCAGTGGACTAAATGAAGCCTGTCCCAGCCTATAACCTCAGCAGCCTGCACATCTTCAAAATGACACTGGCACGGTAAGTAGCACTTTGTGTCCTTCTGGGATGGGAGAGTGATTTTCTAAGCCTGAAGTTATGGGAGTTATATGCTGAAGCCTCGTTTACAAGTCCAGGCTTTAATGAACTCTCTGTGTTTTGAAAATCCCCATTCTGCCTCCTCAAGAGAACTCTGTGTTACTGAGCCTCACTTGAGCCGGAAATCTGGCTCTTCCATGCTCCTGCCTCTGCTGGGGCAAAGCAACATGATACCCACTCTTGGGGCATCACCATGGAAAGACCATCTGCATTACATTATGAGGGGAATATTGTCCCCTTAGGCACGTTTGGAGAGTGCAACCTTCCTGCTGGAAACTTTGCCAGGGATGAGGATTTTTGCCAAAATCCCTAGGGAGCCAGGGCGAGGTTTTTCAGTGAGGCAAGTGATGCCTATCTCTATGGAAATCATCCAGCACAGAATCTGGCACAGATTTAAGGTGTGACACTTGTATTATATTACAATATAAGATGCGTAAGTGGAGTCTATGGAGCCTGTAGTGATGTGGGAATTGCTCTGTCATGGGGACCCCCAGATCACAACTCCTCTTGTTAGGATCAGTTTTTATTGGATGACTTGTCACTGTCAAAACAGCCTCTTAATGTCCTGGATCAAATGTGCTTCAAGGCACAACGAATAAGGTAGAGAACTGAGAGGGGAGGTGAATCATTTCAGATCCTTGCTGGGTGTTTCAATTGTAATATCATGATAACTTAAACTCCATTCGCTCTCCCCAAAGCTCAGGTTTTGCTCTTGTGATGCACAATGTTAGTTTTTTGTTGTTTTGTTGGGTTTAGGTTTTTTTTGTTGGTTTTTTTTTTTTTTTTGAAAGCATGGCATGGCTCTTAAAAAGGCACCCCTGATTTTATGTATTAAAAAAAAAGTCAATTTCTAGCATGAGAAGTAAAATGATAAAGTGACAAAAGGGAAATTACAGACAATAAGGATCTTCTGTTGTACTAGAGAACTTGTCTTAGGAGCAAAGCAGATGACTATTACCAAAGCATCAAAGGAGCACAAATGTGTTTCTGAGGAGCAAGAGCAGTTCAACATTAAGGAGCAAAACTGGGTAAATAAAGGAGGAAACAGTTAAGAGAGTGGGATGATATATATAGTTATTTAACTCAGAGGTAAAAATGGGCTTTCTAACAGCTTAGTTGTGGCTAAAAGTATCAGCTGGTGACATTAGAAGGACAGAAAAGACTCATCAAGAAATCTTATAAAGACCTTTGCATGGCAGCCTTGTACAGAAAAAAAAGACATGTACAGAGCAGAAATGAAAAGTTAGTGAAGGAAAAATAAAGCTTTGTAGTTGTATTTTTAAAAATTAGGAGAAGGAAGTTAATGGGAACAAGATGAAAGGTGATTTCACAGTGCCAAGCATAAGTTCCTAATGCCTAATGGCCTGTGTGGCTTGGAGAGCCACAGGAACGGGTTATTTTTACTTTGTTGTTTTTGGGTGGCATTTCCTAAAGCTGGAGTGACTCAGAAGTAAAATCTCCTTTGAAAGCAAGCAGGATTTTTATTCCCAACAAACATACTTCCTTTTTGAAACATCTCACCCTAAGTGTATGTAATACATGCCACAAAGGAATACTCTCATATTGTGCCTTAAATGATAAGCACTGATTATTCACAAATAGACAGGAGAGAGGTTTTTTTGTATGAAAATGATAGAATTCAGAATTCAGACAGATTAGGTAACAAGCATGTGTATTAGATCACTCTATTTCTATCATCATCCCTTCCCACAGCAGAAGAATGCTGAAATCACCCAGCTGTTTTGCAAACTCTCATTTTAAGGAAGACCCAAAACATTCAAAATAATTTCTATGACAGACATTCCCATGCAGCATTTTGGATCCTTTCCAGCCACCAATCAACCAAAAAAGGTTAGTAGAGGTGTTGGCTGGAAATTAAGGAGCCTTTAATGGGATGACATGGTGTTGGGTGGGAGCCTTCAGCCTAATGACATTTTTTATGGCATTGCACATGAATATTTTACAGCAGAAAACCAGTTATTTTTGTGTCTTCCTTTGGCATTTTATGAATGGAGGAATGTTTCCCTGTGCAGTAGCAGTACTTATTTAGGAGCTGGCACATCAGTGGGTCCCTACCTGGTTTGATGTTGTTGAACTCCTTTTCTATGGTCTCCTCAGTGGTCGAGAGCATGAGGTTCCTCACGTAGAGAATTTTTACCGATGACATGGTGTCTTCATCCACTTCCACTTCTGGTTCTGCCCAGTCAACGGCTATAGGGTGGCCCCACAACTGGATCCTTCCTTTAAAAGGGATTGGCGTGGTCAGTGTCAGACAGGCTTTGGCTACTCTCACTGCTGCTCAGAGACTATTCCTTGTGTAGTATGAGCAGCAGAATAGTCCAATTCTAAAAATGGGACTAAGATAAGCCTTTCTAGCTCAAAGCACAGTCATTTCATTAACTCATTTCCAGGAGCAGCTGGTCACACCTTCAGCGTGCTCCCGACGATACCTTAGATGCCTGCAGAAATGCAGCGTCCAGAATTAAAGAAGTGAAAATGCGGCCTGATTCACGATCCTCAGCATTCCCTGGCGTGCACTCTAATGGGAAATATTTGAAGGAACTTCTAAAAATTCCCCTTGACTGCAGAAGTTTAATTCCCTAGCTAATAGGAAAGGGATCCAGAAGTCCCAGCTGGATGAAATGAAACAGTAAAAGCAAGGATGGCTCTGTGTGCAAGTATTTGAAGCCGTATGGTCCCACTGGGTGAAGTTGCAGTGGAAGTAGTAGAAAACAAGGGCAGAAAAAGTCACGAGACATAAAATGGGTGAAAGTGTGGAGGAGAAGCACATGGGCTCTCTATACACTGGATTGAGCCACTGAGGGGCAGGGAATAACAAGAGCAATTAAAGAGGTTATTAAAAGCAATGTTGTCACCCAGTTAGCACACTGAGCTCCACAGTCATTTGCATCAAGTCACCTAATCTGTTAAGTAATTGATTAGTCAATTAACGATGTTTCATAAGTAATGAAAATGGACCACGACAGCCTTGTCTCAAAGCTGCGGGAATCGCAGTGCTGAGCAGACAGACACCGGGTAAGGCAGAGGGACATCTACGTAGTGATGGTTTCTTCACCTCCTGTCCTCTCCAGATGACAATATCTCTTTCCTCCTCTTTTTCTTCCTTGTCCATTCTGCACAGCTTGCAAGGTAAATCTTCCTCCCTTTTCTCTTCAGGAGCATTTGAAATCTGGCGGCCTGCTAATACCCAGAGCCCCAAATTTCATGTGTTCTATCTGTGGCCCACTTTTTCTCTGGCAATTTTAATCAGCCCAGCAGCTAGTTCTTTGGACGTGCAGTAGGGACTACTTTCTGTCTCAGCAGCATGGTAAGTGCCAGATATTCCTTCCCAATAATGAAACAAAACATCTGCCCCTTCTGCAAATGTCCCCCAAAGAGTAAGTGAGTCTTTCTGTGTTTTTTGTTTCTTCCTCTCTCATCTTTATGACATGAAAATTGGGTCCTCTGAGGCCTTGATTATGCTAAAACCTGGAAAGAAACCCCAGGGATGCCTGTGCCGGTAGAGGCAAAACAAGAATCTTGCAAAATATTTTTGGAGAGATCTGAAAAAAAAAGGCATCCTATCTTGCATCTCCACTTAGACAACCCATCTGAGATGGGATGGGAGCTCCAAAACAGAGGGAAATTAGATTGTGAGGGTGGAATCTGGAGACCTTTTTTTTCCAAGAACAAAAGTGAAAATTAAGAAACAAACCTTACAGGGGCTGCTCCCTGCTAGGAAGAGTCATGAATGAGCCAGGATTTGTGAAGAGACATTGGGCTGATGTTCAGCTTTCAGCACTGCCCAGTCTGATTCGGGCTGTTAGTGAACAGAAATAGAGATGGCTGCTGATGTGTTCCCAATTTCTGAATTGCCATTTTCTGTTCAATAGTGGAAACAGTGACCCGACTGACTTGCAGCAAGGAGCTAAGCTTGTTGTCTGCACTAGCTTCTTGCTAAAACCCAGTTGTTCTCCACCCTCTTGTTTAACCAGGAGATAGGACAAGGTTTTCAGAAAACGCATCTTCCCTTTTCAGCATTTCTGTCTCTTCTACAAAGCTCCCTGAAAGAGCAGTGAGGATCAGAGTAAAGGAAGCATCTTGATAATATTTAGTCTCACATTCATGCGATGCATCAGCTGCAGACACATTCAGTTCTGGCTGGAAACTTTTTTTCGCGTTCCTCCCATATGTTTGCAACATCAGAAGACTCTGGCTCCTGCTCAGGCCTTTGAAATTCCTCAAACTGTTTACCAAGATGTCTCTAAACTGGAAAACACCAGCTCATTGCACATGTCCACATGCTCGTTCCCATCTATCTCACTGCCTTTGCTCAGGATCTCAAGTGCTCTGCTCCTCAAAGCTGCCGTTGGCAGTGGTGGCTGTGCCTGCTCCTTCCCTCGTTCTGGATATAGAAACCATGGAAAAGTTGTGCTGAAGCACAGAGCAGCTGAATGTGCTCCTACGATCAGGGAGACATTAAACTGATGCAGAAGAAAAGGAAAAAATAGTCACAGTAAGATATGCCACAATAGCTAAGTGTACTCGGTGCTCAAAATAATTTTACAGTAAGAAAAAAGGATTTAAATGACTTGTGATGTTTCACCAGCTGTTGTATAGGAAGAGTTAAAGAAGGATGGTGGGGCATGAACAAGTCCCAAAAGAGAAGATTTATTTAATTCCTTCACCAGAAAGTGAGCTGGGTTTGACATAGCAGTGCAGAAGATGCTGAGCATATGAAAGCATGAGAAAATTGGTGAAATCACTGCAAATGCACTTAATGTTCAGTGACTCCTTCATCTAACACCTGCCAAACTTTTCTCTGCTTCACAATGGTCTTTGAATGTCCCCCAATGCTAAATAATATAGACTGATTCTTTATATTATTTAAATCCTCAAGCAATTCCTCATCCTCATCATCATTTGAAGTTTTCTTCTCACATAGAAAATATACATTTTCTGAGACATCTTGAGTACACTCTCAAGGCTGAATATGTTCTTGGATGCTTTCCTGAGTGACACTCTCCAAGAGGCCATAAATGAGGCTGTATTCGACATAACACAAGATAACCACAGGATAATACTACAACAGAGCTGTATGGATACATGCAGCTAAATCCACCTAGCTGTATTTTTAATAAATTCAAGCTCATAAAAGAAGAGCCAGACAGCCTGATGTATTGGGGTCCCTCCTTGCCCTGGGTGCCTCTAGCAGCCAAGAGGAGAAAACCCAACAGCCTTTGCTTCCTTGGGTACATGGGTGCTCTGGAGCCTTTGGTCTCACTGCAGCGCAAGGTGTCCATAGATGACCACTGAGATTAAGCCATCCCCACCACCATCACCACCTGTATTAACCTGGGAGCAGTTTTCTCCTGGCCATTGCTGCTGCCCGATGGCTTTCATATTCCACAAAAGCAAAACCCCGGTTTTTGGTTTTATCAGCTGCACTAGGGTAGACAATGACGTCCACGACTCCGTCTGTGACTTTCTTCATTTCTGCTAAGATTTCCTCCCTCTTCTTCGTTTTGGGGATCCCTCCCACAAACAGGCGGCAGTTGTCCACGCTGGCACAGACTCCAAGGAGACGCCCGTTCCTGTGTATAAACAACATTGATGGCTCGTCAGGAGTCAGGACTGGTTACCCTGAGGTATTCAAGGCCAGGCTGGATGAGGCTTTGAGCAACCTGGTCTAGTGGAGGGTGTCCCTGCCCGTGGCAGGGGGTTTGGAACTTGATGGTCTTTAAGGTCCTTTCCAACCCAAACCATTCTATGATTCTCAAAGAGAGAAAAAATTTAAAATAGAACCCTTCTGTTGTCCCAAAACACAAGGTCAAACACCAGGTCTCCTGCTCCTGCAGCATAGGTTGTTTGGGATGTTCAAGCGGTCTTGCTTAATGCAAGAGCTTAATGCAAGAGCTAACGCAAAGGCTGCCACTCTGTTAAATTTGACATCAAAGTAAGGCAGCACAGTTGAAATGAAGGATTTGAGATCAGGGAGAAAACAAAGCCAAATTTTGCTTTTGCTTCCTGGAATTCTGCGTTTTGTTATTTGCAAAACCAGCCGCTACCAGGCAACTGGACCTACCACCGATGGACACAGCAGTGACTCTTGTGTGGCCACCAGTACAAGCCAGGATTTGTTGTGTCCGCCAGTGATTTGTAGCTTCCCAGTCACCACTGGGCCTCATGACTGGACGTGGTTTAGTGGTGGACTTGGTAGTCCGTGGTTGGACTTGATGATCTTAAAGGTCTTTTCCAACCTAAACAATTCTGTGATTCTGTGACTGAGATTTTGGGGAAAGAAAATCCCTTGTCACGGGGAGACACCATTTGAGCACTTACTGATGCCAGTTGTTGTACAGACCCCCAAGTAAAAATTTCCTTACAGGGACTTTGCTCACTTATTCATGGTCCAAGTACCTCTTGCAGGTCTTGAGAAGTTAAAAGCTTTTTTAGAGGAGTTTTTGGAACAAGGGAAGTAGGCAGAGTAGGTGGAGGTGGACGAAGCCTTTTCTTTAAGACCTTCCAGCCTCTGATAGAAATCACATTTCCAAGCCCTCCCTGTGTGCCTTGTGACCTGCTTGTCCTTAGAGTTGCTACTAAAGCAATTCACAACTCATCTTTTAAAAATTAAAAACAAAAAAAAAAACTATAAAATTGCCAGAATGGTTTATCTCTAAATGCTTCTAAGCAGAGGCCATTCATCCCACTTTGAACTGTAAAAAACCATAAAATGTTGAAATCAATACAAAACATATTGATGGGCCTATATGTTGTTGATTTCTGGCTGGTTTGTTCCCAATTTCTAGTCACAAACATGATGGCTTTTTCTGTTCCTATCTATTAGGAAATGTCACTGTTTTGCCATTTGGTTTCCATGTTTCCATCCTATTTCACCCCCTTTTTTTTTTTTTTTTTTTTTTTTTGGCTGGGGGATAGCCTTTATTTTTTCCGATATCACTCTGTCTCCCAGAACATACCTGCAGTATAAATCATGAGAGATTGTGAACAGGAATAAATCAACAAAAAACAGCCCAGAGAGGAACATGAAATAAACAGCTATGGTAAGGCAAAAGTTAATTTGATCCAAAGCAAAATATTTTTTCCAATATTCTGGTAGAATATTTTTTTTTTTTGTAACAAAGAAATTTCCTTGAAAAGATTTTGTCTGTGATGAGTCCTACATACTGCCTTTTACTATGGCATAAAGCAATGACTGCACAGGGAGGCAAGAAGTGATTTCCTCTTAAAGCTTAGGTACCTAAATAACCTTCATCTGGGCTTCAAGGAAAAACATGCCTTACATAACAAGGTAGTTTAACAGATATGTTTTAAAGTTGATGGGAAGGCGTTTGCCACGCTTACCTAATTTCATAATTGTTGAGTTGCTTTATTGCATTCTTTGCCTCCTGTTTATTTGAAAAGGTCACAAAGGCATAGCCCCTGTTGTTGCCATTAAAATCCATCATCATTCTCATTTCATAGATTTTGCCGATCTGCAAATAGAAAGAAAAAGGTTTGTCAGCAAGGCTGGAGGTGTTTAAGCAAGACCAAGTGCTTCCTTGACTATATCTTGTCAGAGCTCCACCAAGCCAAGGGTAGTCTGGGCCAAATCATATCCTTGAAATCAGCCTTGACACGCAGCTCTGATCATCAGTATCCTCTGCAAAATAACTACCCACCATGAAGTCTTACTTTTTCACACAGTGGTATAAGTTCATCTTCAAAGAGGTCTCGGGGCAGTTTCCCAATAAAGATCTCGCACCCCCTCTCCGGCGGAGGGCCGTCCCAGCCGGGTGGTGGGCCTCCGTATTTCCTCTGCCCATTTTCCTGCCATGGAGACAAGGAGAAGGAGGGTTTAGATGTAGATTTTAAATGTGGATGTAATCAACCCTTTTGCAGGGAATGACACTTTAGACATTCTCCGTTACGAGTGGGCTGGAGGCAGATGCCCTTCTTCCCCGCAAGGAGCAACTCTACAGACTCATTGGAGATAACGTAGTGTGCATGGGCTGCCCCACTGCCGTATCTGTGCTGAAAATCTTTGATATCCCCATTAGCGGGCTCGTGATGTCCTGGAGAAGGGTCTGGTTTGTACCTAGCTGAGTTTTGCTGGGGAACATGCATCAGTGCATGGTCCACAGCTCAATTGCTACTTCAGATGTCAAAGATGGACACAGTCAAATACCTCCTTGGAAAACATAGGTTATATTGGCTATAGGGAGGTGAATCTCTGTGGACTGTGTGTAAGTTGTGGACCACGTAATATTGCACTTGCAAAATGTATAACTTGTCATGGTTCTTCATCCAGTCATAAACATTTATTAACAATGTTATTACCTCTTATTTTAGTAATTGATGGAGAGCATCCTACTATGGAGAGCATCTTACTATAGAGACCAAGGAACAGATACTGGAAGGATCGTGTTTGAAAGCAGAAGGACTTTCGAAAAGCAGAAGGCACCTGGACCTCGAAAAGTGCTAACATAGGAGGAAAACCAGGGATGAAGTTAGAAGTTTGGATAGGTGTAGACAAAGTGGCCAGCCAGGGAGCCCAAGGCATCATTGGCACTAGGTGATGCTGGAGCTGCTCAATGTGCTTGAAAAAAAGATGTTTATGTCAGTGGTCAGGCTTAGTAAAGAAGCAGCAATGCCTGGCACAAGGTGTGATGAGGACCTGGGCTGGGAGATGGGCATGGAGAGATGGTGCACCCCAACACCCACACGCCTTCCCACCCTGAGAAGTGGTCAAACCCTTTCTCTAACTGTGCCAGGGGTTTCAGAGGGAGCCCCACAGCGGGGACAGAGGAGGGTCATCACTAGGAGGAGGCCAGGTGAGGGGCAATAGATGATGCTTGCCTACCCAGGAGTTTCTTTAGGCAGAAAGCAAGTCTTGGCTCTGAATAATATCCAAAAATGTGAATGTTTGCTATGTTTTTGCTAGGTGAGTGCCGCTCTGTTCTCCTTGCCCATTTTTCATGATCTTTCCTGTATTTTCTCTCCTTTCCTCCTTTCCTCCCCTCCTTCTTTCCTTCCCTCCTCTCCTTTCCTTCTCTCCTTTCCTCTCCCATCCTGCAGCAATGCCCTGTGCCCAGAGGAGCACATGACTATCGTAATTTTTCTATTTTTGGCTCCTTAACCATTTCTGTAGTCATTTCCCACTCTGGGATTATTCCAAGCAATTGAATGGCTGTACAGCTGACTTAAGAGGAAAGCCTAAAGCACATAAGAAAACAGGGATTCTTGCAGGAAAATAAGAAGATACTATGAGCTCCTTCCATTTTCCTGAGCCTGTAACAGGCCCTGAATTATCAGTGCTTGCTCCTGTTTTGCAAATTGTTTTCAGCATAGTGATGGAGTCATGGGGACATGTGAATTTATGAACAAATTCTTATAGCAAATCTAACAGGAACATCATGATGTTTCAGGCTATTATTCTGCACCCAGTTTGGCTCAACTGAGCACATTGCTGTTGTGGAAATTTTCCATCTCTTGAGCCATTCATTAAGTGAAGAAAAAAAAAGTGATGGTTGTGTTTGGTACTGTTGCAGTCATCTGCAATCTTCATTGGCATGTCAGCTGAAGGAAGAAGTGAATCACCTGGAGGAATGCTGAGCTCAGCAATAATGGTCTGAAAATGGCCAGAGGAGTCTTACTGCTCCACTTTAATCCTCGTGAGAGAGAGTCAATGGAACAGTTTGGTGTTTTTTTTTTTTTTTTCCTCATTTTGTCAGTGTATGTGGGAGCTGATGTGCAAGGAGGCACAGCAAGAAATTAAGTATTCTCTCAATCTACAGTGGCCTCCTTGGTGGCTTGAAGGCAGCATCTCAACAAACTCATCTCAGTGAGGTGTCTGGAGGGAAGGAGGATTTCCTCATCCCCTTTGTGATGATGTGTGATCCTGGAGTGCACTGAGGAAGAAGACGTTTGGCTATAGCATAGCTAGGTTCAAAGAAAAGCCCAAAGAGATGTGGAAAAGGAAATTTGGAGAAAAAAAAAAAAGATAAAAGGTAAGCTTTGAAAGAAAGGGAAAAGGTAGGGAGACAGAAGATGCTGTGATGTGAGGATGTGTGGTTTAGGAATGAGCTATAGCCAGGTGTGACAGTATGAAAAATTGAAGACCAGGATGGAGAAAGCCACAATAAATATAAGCCATAGAGTAGTTAGTTATCTTTTGGGTAAGGTACAGCAGAAAGCCTCCTCAAGGGCAACAAGCCCAGCTGCTGGCCTGGTCCTGGGCTGCTCACAGGATTAAGGGCTATAGGAAAATGCTTCCCCCCCCCACCCAGGACTCTCAGTTTTTGCTTTGGGCTGTTGTGCCCTCTAGTGCTACGCGAACCAAGGCAGAGCCCAACATTGTTTTCAGTCACCACTTCTAGGATGCAAAGTTGGTCATATTAGTGCCCAATGCTTTTCGAAAAATTAGCTTGTTTTGGTCATGTTAACTGAGAATGGCTTCTTCAGATGGCTTTTGAAGGACATGCCCAGTCTCCACCTGTCCTAACCAGAGGAGGCTTTGCACTTGGAGACCTGGAAACCTAAACTGGGAACAAACCTTTGGTGCACATGTGCAAAGATTCATACAAAAGCCAGATCTGGCGGTGATGCTTTGGACTTCCTATGGCCAACTCTGGCCCTACGCTCTTCTCAAACTTTCCTTGGTCGGTTTTCTTTGCTACGCTACCACTGTAGCCATGGCTTTGAGACAGCAAGCCCAACCTTTCCCAATATTTAGCAGAGCTAAGTTGGTTATTTTTTTTTTCCACCTTTATCCTAATTTGGCATTGGGCAAAGAATTCCTGGAGGAATAAGATCCCGCTTCATAAAAGACAGAACCTTTCACACGTAGTTATGTGCAGCACTTATGTTAGAGAAAAACAGAGAGAAGAAGAATGAGCAAAGAGTTCTTTATGCCTACAGATCTGCTGCTCAAGCCCCTGATGCAACATATTGCACACAAAAGGACATGCCCGTGAATTCCTACCTGGATCAAATTATATCCCGTTCGCTGAATTAATGCACGGAGGGCGGCTTCTTTCTGTGTGCCGGTCAATCCATCCCCGGATTTGTGATTTGATTCCATTGTGAGTGATTATCAGCAAAAAATCAGGTTAATTAGGGGTGCTCACTGCAATCAAATTTAAGATAAATTAAATAAATTAATATGGCGAGGAGGAGAAAGTCCGCCCTCCTGAGAAAGTTAACAGGATCATTCTTCCCAAATCAGTCGTTCTGAGGTCAAAACAAAACACCACTGACTATGGAAAAAGCAAAAATATTCCCCTCTTACATGTTGCATGAAAATAAATAGCACTTGAACCCAGGGTCAGATTTTGGACAGTACTGCAGTGAAACGCAGACGGATATCATAACATATGGGTGCATGTGTCTTAGGAGGGAAACACGTGTCAGGCGCCTAATCGTGCTCTGGCTACATGGCCAAGAGTCGTTCATGCCATTGCATCCCGTTGATGCTGAGAAGGGAACTTCATACAAGCCATGTCCGGCACTTCATGAGACACGTAAGACATAGGTCCAGACCTGGCCTATTTTTAAAAAACATGAAAATGGGAGAACTTCAGGTCCATATCTAGGTTCAGGGCTGGGATGGATATTTTGATTCAGAGCTGTAGTTCTAGGTCATGCCTAATAATTATTTTTTTTTTTTTAAGTTTTGGTTCTGGGTTGAAAACACCATAAAGCCAAAATCTTAATCTGAATCTGGTCACAAACTGACAAAGGGCTGTTTACAAGATGGATGTGCTCCTCTAATTTCAGGCTGCCTAGTTTTTCCTCCATGCTGAGCTTTGAACTTGTGCAAAACGCATTTGTACGAGCAGGTGTAGAAAACAGTCTGCAGATGCAATGCCAAGCTTGAGGACTCATGATGATGGGCTGATGCTGAACACCAGCAGGGGCAAAACCAGTTGCCTCCTAACTGGGGGATGTACTGTGGGCTGGTAGGACCAAGAACTTCATAGCAGGAAATCACCAAATTGCGTAATCCAAAATCATCATTATTGCTTTAAATTGCTTTCAGTTGTACAAAAGCGGAGGCAATGGAAGGTGATGGTAACTCCCAGGCTCGCTTGGAGAGCAAACAGGACCAAAAGTGGCCGGGGTGGGTGGACTGGGGACAAGGGGGATGGGGTACCACAGGACCCCCCATGGCACAGGGATAGGGAAGGGCTTTGGATGGCAGTGGGGATGGTGGATGGAGGAGAAGGAAAATCTGGAGGAGCAGAGAGGAGAAGACGGAAAGGTGGAGGGCAAATGGATAGCTGTGGCTGTGCCCTGAGCTGATGCTAAATTTTGGGGAGAGGACCCTAAACAATCCCCCTGTACAGCAGGTCCCTTCGTGCACATAACTTGAGCATTGCTCGTACAGAAACGCAGGTAAAGAAGTGCAACGTATCCAGCTACAGCAGGTTTTCTGATTGTGCCTCCATGCTACAGAAAGAACAGAAAAAGCCTTTCCCAGTAACTGCCTCTTTAACACCAAAATCTTTTATTAGCACATGCTGCTTTTGCAGTTCATTGAGGGAAGAGCTAAGGTTTGAGGCTGGCTACTTCGCCTTTGGATATTATGTGCTCTGATATCTAGGTATCTTAGAAGACTTAAACTGGTGCTTGAATTTAAATAAATTTATTATTCTCAGTGCCAAAAATAGGGCACAAGACCAGGTCTTTGGAGTGTCTCAGCCTTGTGTCAGTCGGGCTCTGCCACACTGACCTCTGGAGACTGCGACTTAAATATTTGGAAATGAGATATCTCTGTAATGACAGATTTTGGAGTTATTTGTCACCCTTCTGATGTGTTTGGTTTGGTTTTTGGTTTTTTTTTCATGATCCCAGTGTTTTATTCACTACCAGTGTGCAGGGACTGGGAGATGGACTGTCCGATGCAATAGCTCTTTCCCATCTCTATTCAAAACAAGTTTTTTCTTCAGCGACTGGAGCTCAATTATTGTTTTGTTTTGCCCTTGCTGGAGGGTGTCAGCAAAACCCTGCCAATGCTTGCAATTTCTGTGGCTATCAACTCTTCCAGAGCTGAGGTTCAGCACAGCATAGGGCAGGATCAGCACAATGCCATGCAAAAAAGAGTCAGATGACTGCTTAAGAAGGAAAAAAACAGTCATTCCAAAAAACCCAACTAAAATCCAAATGGATTCTGCATCCTTCCTTGCCTGAGCAGAGACACCCTAGAGGGGAAAGCTCCAGTTTACTGCAAATTTGGCCCCTTATATTTTGCTTTTGCTGTATCCTGGTTTCATCACGGGGTCGAGCGACCAAATTGCAGCACTCGGTGCAAATTTGCACAGTGCTCCACAAATCTCCATTAGCCCTTACAGTTCCACTTGAGCCCATCCACTTGTACCCAAAAGCTGGCGCAGAGCTGGGGATGAAACGGGATGGCTGTGCTATGCAGATATCTCTGATATTCATCACCTTGGATTTAACAATTCTTTTCTTTTCTCTATATCAGTGCTGCAGTGACCTGATTCCTGACAGGGATGCTGCCTGGAGTGTCGGGGCGCAGGCTGCTGGCAGACAGCAGGCACATCACCCCACGCCAGCAACGTCTCTACTCTGTGCCGGGAAAGTGGCTGGACCGCAGCCAGGCAAACCTCGGCGGGTTTCCATAGCG